AATATTTCTCATTTTTAAATGAACATATTAATTCATAGTATTATTTTTAATATTAATCAATAATATGTTACAATTCTTTTGATATCTCAATAAAACGTTTAAAATTTTTGCTGTGGCTATTGTCATATAAATTTTATTAGTTCAACCGGAGTGTTCAACTACTGCGGCTTGTCAGAATTGATTGTTCAACTACTACTTCTTTCATAGTCTATCTTAGAAACGTTGTCAAAATATAAATATTCAATTATCTTTCTTATTTTGTGGTTCAATCAATTCAAAATTGTTTATATTTTAATGAAAATAACTAATTGGAACGAATAATTACATCTTTATATATTAAAAGTAGGATCAAATATTAATAAATTGTTTTGAATTATCGAACAAAAAATAATATGATATATAATATACAAATAGATTTGAATTATTTATAAAAAATAATTTTTTAATTACGAAAGCCCTAGAATTATTTTGACAAAAAAGAATGAAGAAACTAATTTATTTTTGCATTTTTATTATTTATGTCCCACATTGATAGTGTATATGTGCGTTGGTTATACATATGATAGCTATTTTATTCAGAACACCTTTGAAAAGGCAATCACATGGAATACACAGAGTGTCTTTTTTTATTACACTCGCAAACCTGTGCTTCTATATATCATTTACGTTTATCGAGACTGTTCGATTGGAATTCAGTTCTTTTTTTTTTTTTTTTTTTTTTTTTTTTTTTATTCATTTTCCCACTTCCTTGAATCTATCGTGCGTTTCACTGTAACCGAACTATGTGACAAGCGTATAAAAACAATTTTTCAACGCTCGTTTTTACTATTTTTTCGCTTACAATTGTCAGTCGTGCTACAGATTTTCTGTTTATTTGCAGTATTTTAGATTCTCAGTTCCGTTAAGTAATAAAAATATCCACTAGCTTTGAGATTTCAAGTTGATCAAATATTTTTTACAACGAACGTTTAAGAACATCTAGGACAAGTGAATATTCAAATTTTGAACAAGATACTGGAATGCTTTTTGAACAAGTTATTATTGAATGAAAAACCATTAAACTTGTCAGAAGTAGGTAAATGATAGTCCTTCGTAAATTCATTCTTTTATATCTAAACGTACAACCAAAATAGTCTTTGAAGTTGATTTAATTTTTTGGTTACTCTTTATTTTAGTTTAGATTACTTATAAGCCAGAGTTATTAAAATGCAGCTAGGTTCAGTGTATTTTACATGTGTTTCAAATAAACAAACCGATATATAGAATTGGCATTTGTTATCACTGGTCCAGACTGAATTACCGACACAAGACTGAACTACATGTTCTTAAGATTTTTTCTTTTAAATCAACTTTTTATTCCTTCATTGTTTATTTAGTAATTGTAAAAGGGTCATGATAAGTTTAGAGGTTCAACTTTCGATGTTAATGGTAGATAAATCACTATTTTTAAGTAGAATTAGTTAAAAATTAAACTATTGTACTCGACTAGAATATTTATTAAGGCTGTGATTAGGCCCGAACTTGGCGTAGTTTACGAATGTTTTAATTGGATATTCATTGCATGGAAAAAGAGACAAATAGTCAAGTGCATTATCTATCAGTATCGACTAGCACTTAAACACGAACGTATAGATGCACTAGACTTCTCAAGTTTAAATTAGTCCAGACACTCGTGCTACACCTTCTTGAGTTAAGTCAATACCTTGAACAACGACCTATGAAACCAATATATCGATCCAAGCTATGATATTTTTAACTTCCCGCTAAGAAAATTGAAAATTTTCAAAAATCGGGAAGTTCTTGGTTTTACCCCGTTTTTCGAAAATCGAATTTTCATCAGATCTCGACGTTTTGAGGTCCTAGGAAGCTTCCCTGACTATTCCCGCGAGAGTGTCACTATGTCTGTATGTATGTGTGTGAACTTCTTATAACTTTTGAACAGTTGAACCGATTTCATCGCGGTTGGTGTCATTCGAAATGGCTTCGCCAAACTTAGATTTCCTGATAATTTGAACCGATTCGGACCGATAGATTTTTTCAGAAGTGGTTTTTTTGGAATAACTTTTAAAGGGCTCTACCAATCGATTCCAAAAACTATAATCAGCTTTCAAGCTTGAAAAACCTCGTCGATCGCCGCCAATCCGGTCAAAATCGGTTGATTCGTTCGAGAGATATCGTGAACAAAAGAAAACCGAAAAAAGTGTTTTTGATATACTCGCTCCAAAAGTTCAACTTTTAAGCGCTGGGTGGCGTCCGAAAAGATACTCATTTCTAGAGACTCTAACATACTGCCTTTTTTCCGTGGCCTAGGCCGCAAAGTTTACTTTCCCCTTCTTTTCCGTACTGTCCTTGTGCAATCGGATGAAATTTAGAACAAAATAAATCAAATTCTAGTGTACCGACCGATGGATTTTGAGTAAATTTTAAACTTAGTTACTATTGAGTGGCGCTAATTCTTTCTCTGCTGACAGTTTATTACGAAGCGGACCTAATGTTAATAAAATAACAAGCGCGTTATAAATAAATATTAATAAAAAGATGATTAATATTAAATTAAGTTCTTTTGCTCTTGTGAAACTTCATAAAATTTGAATGTCATTATTTGC